TTGCCTAAGTTGAGCTCACAAGTAATTACTATTATTTCTGTTTCAAAGAACCATTTTGAAGAAGGTTCAAGTAATCTTATGTATTTTATATGGTGAAATAATCTTACATAGTCTATGCCCCCAGGTGAATTTAGGTGAGTTTTTATTGTTTGATAGTTGATCCTGACTAGATGTCCACAGCCTCACTGGGGAAGGGAAGGACAATCTTGCTTGCCTCCTCCCAGGCTGCATTATTAAAGTCTTTTTCTGTGACCTCAAACAGTCTCCATTTATGTCATAACTATTAGTTGCTTCTCTGTTTCTCTTAATTTGTATTTTGTTTCCTTAGAGGAATTGCATTGATCAAATGTATTGGCATGTCTCCAGCACTTGTACAGTGTATAAAACTGGCATCTGACTAGTAGTCTGACACATTTCCCAGCTTGTTTTGAAAAACAAACCAAAACAACAACAAAAAAGTATTCAACAACTCAGAATATGTTGATAAATTACAAGCACAACAAACATCTCAAATGATAGAAAACCTATTGCCAAAATAAGTAAGGAGTAACTATAAATTTCAAGTCAATTAAACTGTCCTGAAAAACAGGTCATGTTCTGTTCAACCACAAGAAAAAGAAAACATATTTTTATGAAAGAAACAATGAAGTTTTTAGTTTTCCTCCTCAACTCAGAAATACAAATCTGTACTAGATGGAAATGACTCAAGTCATAAAATGTCAATAAATGTTTCTGGATCAAGAGTCAGTAGGCTAAAAATTATCCGTTTCTCTCAATTATCCGACAGGTTTAATATACTTCTAATTAAGCTTCCAGTAACATTTATTTTGTAATAACTAAAATAATTCTTAAAACAAAGATATAAGAATAAGCTGCAAAATATATAATAAAAATAAATACATTACAAACTATAACAAAGCTTAATATAATAGTAAGATTTATTAAACAGCTGTAAAATTGTGCAGTTTACTCAACATATTGATCAGATCAAGGAAATAGAATAATCATACTGCAACATATATAAGATCTGAAAATGTAACATATAATCAAGAAATATCAGAACCTAATATAAAATTGATGGAGTAGTCAAATAATACAGGGAGGAAAAATGAAAACCTATTCAACATTTCATATTTCTGTGCATGTGATATTTATCACCCACAAAAATTAAGCTCAAAGATAATTTTAAATTCTACTGAAATATAAGCAAATAAATTATGTCTGGATGAGATAAGTTCTCTGATTAAATAACTACAATGCTTTACAATGGAAAAGTGAAAAGAAAAAAGCAACCCTGGAATTGTTGTCAAAGTTCACAAAGTCTCTTACAAATAATCCTTAAGGTTGTGGTTTTATTCTGGGTTTGCCAATAGGCTGTCTGTCTAAAATAAAGTCTTCTGTCCTTAATCTTTATTTAGGGTCAGATGCTACAAACTAGATATGTCTTGGAATTCTTGCACTTTTGAATAATAGTTGTATTTTTTCCTTTTGATGAAGATAGAACCAAATATATATTAATTTGGCAGCAATATGAGAACAAAAAGCATTACACGTATTTATTGAAAAGCAATTAGCTATATGAATAACATTTGAAGTCACAATTTAGAAGATAATGACAATAGAATATATCTGGTACTGACCAGGTGCCAAGCATTGGGCTGTATGTTTACCAGAATTAACAGCATTAACTTTTGCAAGAGCCTGAAAGGTAGATTTTATTACTTCCTCTCCTTCTCTGGGTTAAGAAGTTAAAGATTTATGAAGTTTAACAACTTTTCCAGTAATATAGAGCAATAAAGTGTTAGGAGTTTAAATCTAAGCCCAGGAAGTATGATTTCAGAATCCACAAATTCAGCCACTACAGTTAGCCAACCCAAGGAGACCAACAGTTATTTTACCTCCTTCTAAATTTAATAATTTATATTCCTGGAAATCTATAAAGATGATCAGAGACAGAATCAAATATATATTTATAAGAAAATATATCAAGGGTTATTGAAGTGTTAAGCAATAGGAAATAGTAGCATAAACCATGACATACAAATATGATGACATGTTATTCACCAATGCAACACAGCATCAACGACAAAGTGTGCTTGCTAAACCCTGTATTGGTTTTAAGGATTAAATGAAACATTAGACATAGGCCTACTATCATGTAGTTCAGGTGGTGGGGAAAACAACTAAATAAATAATAAATTAGCAAAGTATGGTAATTTTAATTATACACCTAAGAAAGGGCCAATTTTGGTGGATAATGAAAGCAAAGCTTCCTAGAAGATAAAATCTAATATAAAATATGGTTTAATAGAGAATAATGAATAATGGCAAGCAAATATTTAAGACATACATTTGCATATAAGCTATTATCTTAATTTCTAAATGTACACATATGTATGCCCATATGTTTGTTTATTAAATAAAAAACAGGTTTAATACACTTAGGTTATATACAGTCATGAGTTGCTTAATAAGGGGAATTTTTTTTCTGAGAAATGCATCGTTGTGTGACTATCATATAGCATATTCACACAAACCTAGAGGGTATAGCCTACTACATACCTATGAGATAACCTGTTGCTCCTAGACTACAAAACTGTACAGCATTTTACTGTCCTAAATACTGAGGTAACTAACACAATGGTATTTGTGTATGTCTAAACACAGAAAATGTACAGCAAAAACACTGGTAGTATAGTCTTATGGGACTACTGTGGCATATGAGGTCCATTGTTGACTGAAAGGTAATTATTTGGCACATGACTGTATTATGTAATCTCCCTATAGGATTGCAAATAATTGTTATTATATTTTAGATATTTTTCTATTTCTGCACCCATTCACACATTTTAATTGTATATATTACACTCATAATCAGAAAAACTCCAAATATATAAAATACATTGCTTAAAATCACAAAACAAATTCATAGCCTATTAACAATTACTATAGGGATGGAGTACATTGATAAAAATGCTTTTGGGGTTGAGTGAAAATGTTGCATTTTGAGTCAGGTATTAAAAACTATATTTTTGAGTAGAAAAAGATTAACACACATATGGCACACTATTTATGGCTGTCATAAAACTAGAAGAAGTATCACACATTTTCACAATTGTTCATCTAAAACCTTTGGAATTCAATTATATTTCATATTTTTAAAAAGCCATATATCTCTGGAGGTATTACCCTGCACTCAAACATAGCAATATTTCTGAAGTGAAATGTGTAAAATAAATTATGATCCATAAATACGTTCATACAATGTCCTGTTAGGTTTTTTAGCCAATAAATTTTGACACCAAACTTAAGAAGGTAAAAAAAAAAAACACTGTTTTTCCAGATATTTTGAAACTTCTAAATTGTGAATAGAAAATTGTAAGTCTACCAAGGAAAACTTTTAGAAAAGTCCTCAAAAGGAGCAACTGTAAAGCCAGAGATATCTGAAATAACTGAGGCAGAAAAGTATGGATGGTTAGATTAGTGTGTGATCTGGGACGTCCACTGCCACAAGTTAATTTCAGGGTCATAGACGCTGCCGTAGTATGAAACACTCTAAGGAAAATTGTATGGTATCAGATGTCTAGAAACTAGATATGTATTTAGATTCTACATCTTTACTATATCTTTGGATTCTAGATCTATTCTATATCTTTGGATTCTTGCACTTTTGAATAATAATTGTATTTATTTTCCTTTTGTTGAGGACAGAACCACAGAGACATTTATTTAGCAGCAATATGAGAACAACAATTGAAAGGTAAAATACTGAATTGTGGTATAACAGAATACAAAGACTTCCCTCTGAGTGCACAAGACCAAGAAACATTTTGGCTACAATGAGGGACTTGGAGTTTGAAAAACTGAATTTTACTTATAATTGCATTACTTACAGGATGGTCATTCACTTGTTTTTCCTCACCTAAAAAGTGTGTGAGTCCTGCCACACACTCTTATGTAATCTCAATTACCTGAAATATGATGTATAAAGGGAAACTCATGCAAATAATTTTAAATATAAATGATATGTGATTATTGTTGGTAAAAGGGATTGAAACCCAAGCAAAGCAAAATCACAAAGTTGTCAGTGCTTGAGCTGAACAACGCAGCTTGAAAGAAAACTGAGGCCAAGAAACCAGATTGAGACTGGTGTTCTCTATCTGCCAAGGAATAGGAAGTTGATATAAGGGGAGGAAACAAGTGGCTCAAATCAAAGCACCTGCTTGATCAACAGTGCTCAGACATGAATTATCCTAGGTCAGATGAAATTGTCAAAACTGTGAAAAAAAAAATTGAAGAATTATCTCCAGCACCCTAACAACCCTGCACCTGAATTTACTTCTTCACAAAATAAATATGGCTAATAAAGGCAATCTAGAAATTTCCAATTAAAAAGCATCAAAGCTACTGTTCAATTCTACAGTGATGAGTATACCACAGTAGAAGCAGTTAATAGCTAAGTAAAAAATTAACAACCCAAGGAAAAAGAGCAAACAGAAAAAAGCTGCAGTTCTGAGAGTTAGCAGTGGAGTCGCTATGGAATCAGGATTAGAACTGTATTAGAATATACAGGCAATGGGAAAATAACAAAAGTCAATATGTAATGTTAGGTATTGGATGGATTGGAGTATAGGCATAGGGAGTATATTTGTGAGGATACAGTGCTCTCTAGAAGTGATTCCAGGAACTGAAACCAATGTACAAGACTTTCCTAAAGTTTTTAATTAAAACTTTCTATGTGTGTGTCTTTGTGCACATATGTAACTTTTCCTTTTACCAGCTCAAGTAATAACCTTCATTGCCTCACTGGAAATATCACCTCAGGGGGAAAAAAATGTTCAGCTCGATGTGAAAAAAAATTGTAATTTATTTCTGGTCTAAAAATTACTGTTTTAAAGGAGATAACTAACTTATTCCACTATATTAAAGTGACTTTATTCTGCTTTCATATGCACAGGAGTCATGTCATTGTTTAAAATGGTTCAGGAACTATACTAAATTAATTTGGTTTTAAATGATGACGTTAAAAAATAAAACTCTTTGATAAGCTCGGGGGAAGTTACTGTCTTCTTCCCACTCCAAAAATTCAGCTGGAATTGACTTAGCAACCAAAATGCCTGTGGATAAGACTGCCCCAAGTCACTTCCTTTTTGAAGTATAATTCATGTCCTGACAATTTCCTACCTTCAATCCCATCTTCCTCTAAGACCCCTCACATTAGGACCCCATGAACACTTGGATTGGAGCAGCTGGAACATAGCCTGGCGGATCGTCTTGGTCTTCAAGCTGTAAATGATAGGATTCAGCACAGGTGGTAAGAGCAGATAAATATTGGCCAAAGTGCTACAGAGCACCCTTGGTGTGGACTGGAAGAGGCGATGTGCCAAAGACAGGCTGATCATTGGTACATAGAAAACAGTGACCGCGCAGATGTGACAGACACAAGTGCTGAGAGCTTTTTGTTGCTTCTTTGGGGCCACAATGCTCAGAACAGTACGGAGAATCAGGACATAGGAGAAAAGAATAAACAATAAGTCAGTGCCATTCAGGTAGAGCTGAAGAAACAATCCCCAAAAACTGCTGATCCAAGGCTTGGAATATGTGTATTTGATCACGTCTGGGTGGTAGCAAAATGGATGGGAAAGCTCTTGACCTCCATGAAAAGACGCAGTGTTTATGGCTACAACAACAGGAAGTAAGAAAACTACTGGTCGGAAACAGATGACCAGTCCTATCGCCAGGATCATCCTGTCTGTGAGGATAGTAGCATAGGTCAGTGGGTTACAGATAGCCAGGAGGCGGTCAAAGGCCATGGCTACCAGCACCGAGGACTCTAGCAAGGAGAAGGCATGCACAAAGAACATCTGAATGAAGCAAGCTTTAAAGCTGATCTCCCGGGCGTGAAACCAGAGAACACCAAGCACAGTGGGAAGGGTCGTGATGGTCAGACATAGATCAACAGCTGCCAGCATGGAGAGGAAATAATACATGGGCTTGTGGAGTCTCCGCTTAGTAATGACGACAAGAAAGATCATACTGTTTCCCAAGAGGGCAATGGTATAGAGACAGCAGACTGGAATGGAGATCCAGACATGAACACATTCCAGCCCAGGGTATGCAGTGAGGAGGAAGTTTGAGGAAGACGAAGTGGTGTTATTGAATATTGCCATGGTGGGTTGAGGACACTGAACTATGAGGAAAGAAAAATAATTAAGATTCTTTGTACATGTCATACATTTTATTAGTCATTTTATATACAATTTTAAATTTATGGTAGACATTTTTCATCTGTTCTAAAGAAAGGAAACGGACACAGTAATGCTAAATAGTATATGCAGGCTAAGATAGTTAAATACAGATTCAAATTCAAAACCAAATTTGCTAACTCCAAAGTCTATTATTTTTTACTGAACTCTAGATGATCTGAGAGGCCAGGCTAATGAGACAAATTTGGATGACTGAATGTTGTAATTTCCTTCTTTTAAAATATGAAAATTTTTAACATTCTTTTATATTTGTATATAATCTACAGGAGGGATAGAGATGAGAAATACGCAGATAGAGAGCTATATTCTCATGACTCATCTAAAGAATGTTTGTGGAGTCCAAGTGTTTTTGAAACTATGTGTAAAAGTCTACATATGTTGGTATTGGTTTTATCTTCATACTGACGAATGCAGAGGGGTGTTTGGGGTGAAAAAGTAAATGAGAGATGAGATGTTTGTAAAGCAGATACCAGTTATCCTCAATTCTTTGAATGATATCTCATAAAGACAAAAAATAAATGACACTGGATAATGTGTGTGGGGTAAAAGGAGAGGAGACAGTGGCTCCGTTTGCTGCTGGGGAAATTTTTCTGTGTAATGGAGACAGAAAAAGAAGGAGAGGGCTTTCTCTCTGTGAGCTCATACACTCTGAAGCCAGTGGTAGGTCCAAGTTCAGTGCCTAAGTTTATCAAATTTTTCTCAACATTGCCAGCTAACCAAAGCAATATGTTAGTGCTTTCTCTCTTCAGGTACAAGCCTCCATCTGACTGGCCAGGAAGAAGATAGCACTTGCCCATTCATATACAGAAGGCCAGGTGAAATTGTTTGAATAACACTCACTGCACTCAATAACTGAGTGACCCAAAGGTCAACATCCAGATTTTCTGGGCTCAGTAATGTTACAGACCCATCCTCCTCATTTACGAACCCTACCTTCTGTTAATTTGTTAACACAATTATATTCCCTACACAATTCAGAATCTACCCTGACAGTTCCGTGACATATTAAGCTAAAACTATCCTCTACTTCAATCTTTGCACCACATTTTGCTTGGACCTTTCACTTGGTGCTTAATAAAGAGGCACAGCTGATATTGATCATTTGCATATGCAAGCATACCATATTGTTTTTCTGCCAGAAGTTTGAGTTTTTTTTAAAGTTTGGGCATGCATTTTTTTTAATCTCTCAATACTAGTTACCAGTTATCTAGTCATAGGTTCAGAAAGTAACAGGATCAGGAAACACAGAAAGTTTCATTTAGCAACACTGATTGATTGCCAAATGATTATCGCCTCGGAAAGAGGGTTTTGAGTCCTATTGTCCTTTGCCTTTGTCTCTTCTCTCTCCTGTCTTCTCTCTCCCTATCTCAGTTTCTTCCATTATCTGTTACACCCCTCTCTTTCTTCATCGCATGCTACTTGTAGCTCCCATCAATTTATTGTTTTATCTTCTTCCTCTCCTTATCTTACCATCCCTCTCCTTCAGTTTTTTTCCCCCAGATTTGCACTCCCGCCTTACCTGGTCACATCAGCAGGAAACAACACCAACCTCTCTTCAGTCCCATAACAGAGCAGGGACTAAACCAGCTTCCAAAGCAAGGGCTTTATAGGCAACCCAGTAGAGTCCCCAGGCAACAGAGAGCATTCTTGATTAGTAAGCATTCTGGTTGGAGTAAGAGTGATGGAACCCATATGCCTATGTTCCCCTAGGCAACTCAGCCACATCTCTGAGACTTACCTTCAACCCTGCTCCCAGGCCCAAGCAAATCCCATCCATCAGGGGCTGGGAGAAGAGCCCTAGCCCTGGAGGCTGACAGCAACAGATATCTGCAAAAGCTGCCTTCCTGGGTCAAATAGATATAACCATTCCTCTTTATCTAGCCCTAGGCTAAGGACTCTCATCCAGGAAGGCTCCTTGAATGTCAGAGCTGGATTAGGAGGGCAGAAAGAGTCATCCCATTGTTCTCTGCTTTCAATATGTCCTCTTCCTAAGAGGTCTCATTACTCTCCTGGCTATTCCTATATCCCTCTTCTTACACAGGAACTCCTCCTAAGAACCCCTCCTATTCAAGTCATATCTGGAGCCATCTACCTTCTAAGCATAAGTAACCTAACATTTGATAAACACATAATATATGCCAGAAACTATACCTTTCAAATATATTGTCTTATTTTTTCATGATTAATCTTATGAGTTAAGTATTATTACCTATTATTTCACAGCTGAGGAAGCTGAAGCTCAGAGATATTTTTTAGTAACTTTCCTGTCTAAAAGTTAGTAGGTTGCAGAAATGGTACTCAAGCCTATTTCCGAACTAGTACCAGAAATGGTACTCAAGACTTTGAAATAAGTCTTATTTCAAAGCTTTTCATCTTAACCAACATGCTATACTACCTTCTAATGCCAACTGTTTCCATTCCTATCTCCAGGAACCATGATTTAAATTAATAATCCTCAATCTGTCGGTTTCATAGATTGATTCCCAACCGTGTGCCCACATCTGGTTTAAGCTTCATTTAGACTGGAATCCAGCTATTCACAGTAGACAGTCAATTAATAATCCTGAGTATATCTAATCTACCCTGGCCTTTTGTACTTTCCACCCACCCCCCAAGACAGAGTCTTTTTGTCACTCAGGCTGGAGTGCAGTGGCACAATCTCGGCTCACTGCAACCTCCACTTTCCGGGTTCAAGCAATTCTCCTGCCTCAGCCTTCCCAGTAGGTGGAATTACAGGCACCAACCACCATGCCTGGTTAATTTTCGTATTATTAGTAAAGATGCGGTTTCACCATGTTGGCCAGGCTGGTCTCAAACCCCTGACCTCGTGATCTGCCCACCTAGGCCTCCCAGGGTCCTGGAATTACAGGCATGAGCCATAACACCTGGCCCTTTATGTACTTCTTAAAACATTTTCCAAATATATTCTCATTACATATGTATGAGTCATACTGAGCAAAGGTGCTTATCCCAGTGAGTATCAAGGAAGATCAGGTAACTTCATAAAGTTGCACATCAGGTAATGCTCAGACGCATAAGTAAACACTACCCTCTTTCCCTGGTTCCTATCAGTGAAGATAAGTGACTGTGAAAATTTCAAACAAGATTTATGAATTTTAAATAGGAACAGAAAGAATAGGAAGTATTAAATCAAATATAATATAATTTTCATTAATTCATTAATTCAAAAATATATATTATGTGTCCACTATATGTTCTAACCTACGTTACACAGTTGGGATACAATGAAATGGGATAAAAGTGTCCCTGTTCATATAGATTATATATTAAGTGCAAGTCAGAAAAGCCCTCTGAACAGAAGTGAGGCTGAGATTGAGATCTAAAGCTTATATGAAATTTCTTATTTTTCCAACTCACTGACTGCACCATTTCCTCAAACTCTGCACATGCTATTTATTTTCAATATTTTTTCATTTCTGATTCCAACCTCTTAAAAATGTATACCTTATGTTATAAAATCTATGAATAAATACACAAACAAAGACAAAAGAAAAGAAATGCTCTATGTTCATCACTGAATACCAGGGTGATTCTAGTGGAGTATAAGAGCAATATTCTAAAAAAAAAAAGTTATTAAACCATGACATACAACAGAAAACTACTCAGCAATAAAAAGGAATAAACTACCAATACATGCAATAACATGAGTGAATCTCAAAAGCATTTTATTAAGAAGCTAAACATGAAAGACTATATAATGCAAGATTTCATTTGCATGACACTCTGGAAAAAGAATCTATACAGGGAGGGGGACCCAATCAATGCTTGCCAGAGGGTGGGTGATAATCGAGTGACTGACCACAAATGGGCAACATAAAGAAATCTGAGAAAGTAATAAAATTGTTCTGTATCTTTGTTTCAGTGGTGGTAACACAATGCATTTGTCAAAACCTATGAAACAATATACCAAGATGAGTAAATTTTATTATACATAAATGTTTGAAAGTTACTTACATACTATTTTAAAGTATAAAATTTTATGCTTTTATTAAGCTAAAATAAATTATTACTCTTATCAAAACCATTTTGCAATTTCATTTGACAACCCATTATATTCATATTGTTCAATACAGCAGCTACTAGCCCTATATGACTACTTAAATTTACATTTAAATCAACTAAAATTAAGTACATTTAAAATTCAGTTCCTCACCTTGCACTAACAAAATTTCAAGCAATTAATAGCCATGTATGGCTACTGGTCACTAAACAGAAGAGAAATAAGAAAATATCCATTTTGGCTGGAATTTCTATTGGATAGTACTGTATTTGATACTCTTCTCCAACTTGATTGCATTTACATGGAAATTGTAGATGCCATTAAGGGCTAACCCTAGCCCCACAGAAGGCCTGGACAATCCGCCATCGGATCTGCTTGGTCCTAACACTGTACACAATGGGATTGAGCACAAGAGGGAGAAGCAGGTAGATATTGGCCATGAATGTGTGTATTATTGGTGACAAATGCTTCCCATAGCGATGAATTAGGGTCATGCCAATAAGAGGCACATAGAAAAGCATAACTGCACAGATATGAGAGAGGCAGGTGTTGAGACCCTTGAGCCTCTCTTCCTGGGAAGCAATGCCCAATGCTGCCTGGAGGATTAGAATGTAAGAGGCCAAAAGTATCAAGGCATCTAGTACAATGGTGAAGATCACAGCCAGCAGGCCATAGATGCTATTGACACTGGTGTCAGCACAGGCAAGCCTCATGGCATCCTGATGGAGGCAGTATGCGTGGGAGAGGACATTGGAGTGGCAGAAAGGTAACCTTTTGATGAGAAAAGGCACAGGGAGCACAGTCACCACACTCCGTAGCAGGACTGCTGCTGCAATCTTGCTGATTACACTGTGAGTGAGAATGGTAGCATAGCGCAAAGGAAAGTGGATGGCCACAAAGCGATCAAAGGCCATGGCCACCAGAATACCTGATTCCACTCCCCCAAATGTGTGGATGAAGAACATCTGGATAAGGCAGACATTAAAAGTTATCGAACGCCAGCTGAACCAGTGAACACTGACCATGGTAGGCATGGAAGACAGTGAAAGGCTGAGGTCAGTGGCAGCTAACATGG